AATGATTCCCTGCTTTCCTGCCATTGCAGATGACATTGCTTTATCTGCTAGCACTCATGGGGCACACACTACAGCACAGCCTCCAAACACCACACCTACTGCTTACACACCAACACTTCCCAGAATCACCACATTTAATGATCACACTAAGTACACTCTCTGCCCAGGTAAATTCCCAACTCATTCTGGCTCCCACCTGAAAGGCCAGAGGCTAGGAACATGGCCAAATGTAGATCATGTAAACTGTTGTAGCATCAGCTATGCATTCCTGAATAACAACTTGGCCAAAACTGCACCAAACTATTATTGGCACACATGAAATTCACATTTCTTATCTTTTCATGAATTTTTATGTCTTCTTCAAAATTCCTACCTTCTTTTGCCTTCCAGGAGAAACTGGTCCCACCAAGAGTCTATGTAAATAACACTAAATCCAATCAAGACCCCCAAAAAATTCACTGAAATAAGTTCTGTGCTTTGGAAGAACAGTTGATAGTGGTTCAAGAAGGTGACATTCCTCAGCCCATGACCACAATAGAGCATTAACTAATTAAAATGGTGCTACTGGATAGGTTATATATCACCAAAACACTAATGAATTATAATACTATTATGCTTGCTGAACATTCTGTGCCATTTTTTTCCAATGTGTTACAAAATGTGATAAAAAGTACTTACATTTGGTACCCTAGTTTTACACAGCTATTTATTTAGTGAATTGTCTTCTATTCTGAACCTTGCAAAGGATTGTTGAGATTGATTAAACTCTTGCTTAAAGGCTACTGATTTCTAGTGCAGAGGAAGTGAGAACTATTTTCTAAGCTTTTAATCAGACTGAAATTTCTTGAGTGCTTTATACACTGCAGAAAAGGACTTCGATTTAGCTTGTTAAACTCACTAACAATAAAAGATTTTAGTAGTTTACTGAACATTTCCCTTCAAGGTCAACATACAAGCTTTGTTTTTTCTCCTTTTCTCTTCTTAGTATAAATGTTTAGTAGTTCCAATAAAAAGTTCAGAATATGATTATGAACCCTTTGCTTCCCCATCTTATTTGACAATCTTAAGAACAGTTCCTAATGGAAGCATTACAGTAGATGCCTGAAGTTAGCTAGTGTAAAAATTTCCTTTAGCATTTATTTTTAGTAAAGTATATTTGAAGGGGCAATAAACGAGCATAGAGTATTTGCTACCCATTCTTTGTTGTCTTCTTCAAGAACTTTCGTTCATAGAGGAAAAATAATAAGCAAGTGAGCAGTAACACTTGATAAACATTCAAATTAATGTCAACCAGACCACAGTCAAACACACAAATTACCATAGAATCATGGAATCTTTTATGTTGGAAAAGACCTCTGAGATCATATAATAATAAATATAATTTTTAAAAGTTGTACTATAATTACGATAGAAGAAATCTCAAACTTGTAAAAGTAATCCTTTCTCTCTACTTATTTTATTTATAATAAATTTTATTTGCCTCAGTTGCTCTGTCTTGACAATCAGTATCTGGAGGCAAAGTAAACCAGGAAATAAATTGGTTTTGCAACAGGATTGTGGATTGTTTAATTAACCACAAAGTGTGAAATAAACCTTAGATGAGCATTTTTTAAATAGTATAATAATTTCCCTATGACTTAAGTACTTGTGCACTGCAAGAAGAAAAAAAGAAAATCCCTGAATAATATAAAAGTTAACATACTTCACATCTAAAGAGCATCCTAAATATGTGATTGTGCACAGAAAACAATAAAACACGAAGAGGAAAAATATGAACAAAATTGCCATACAAGGCATACCTATGAAAACATACATTCAGCATAGTCAATGCTGAAATTAAAGGTTATTAAAAGCTGTCTAAAAACCCTTTACCAAGTGAATACACAGTATGACTCAGGTGAGTACTCGGAGTCAAAGAATAAAGGCAATCTTAGAAATACATTCAGACAACATACTTGAAGAAAACTAGTCTACACACAGATTGATGACATCAGTGAACCATGCAACAGCATTCTGAGGAAGAAAAAAAACTACATTAAAAACATTTTACAATAAAGGACAAATCCTCCATGACACGCTCAATAAACCAAAAGAGAAATTTGTCCCTGGTTATACAAAGTATTTGGACAAAATGTCATTCTTTGTCTATGATGATGAATAGGTTCTTGCTAGCTAGAAGAGAAAAAAGAAAAATGAAACAAGGATGTTCAGTAGGAACTGAAAACTTTTCCATTCAGAAGATCCTTCTGAGAGTGTAATCTTGAGGTATGTGAACATAGTTTATCCAGAGAAAGGGGGCATATTTTTTACATTCAAGCAAGCATGTAATAACATAAAAACACAATGAAGAAGTAATAAATGGACAAAATAAAAACCACACACAAACAGTCCAGCTGCACATTACAAATAGGTTTGTGATAATTCAATGCTTAAGCAACTACGTTTTTTCAGTTTAATGCTTATGGCCCTGATTTTCTACTTAGGCAAAAGCATTCTGGTTTACTGTACCTTTCATTAGGTAAACATCCACTGAGTGGTAAAAATACTACATAAAGTCTTTAAATGAAAGATTATCCAAACATGATGCTAACAAGTGGAAAATTCAAAAAGTTGAACTAAAGAGGAAAACAACTATGAACATAATATCTAGAAGCACAACTTAATTAGAAAATTTGATGAATTTCACATTGTTTACAGCTATACATGACTCCCATACCATCACTAAAACTGATTTTTACCCAACCAACCTGTCACCAAGTCAAATAAAGGCATGACATAAGTCCCTGATACAGGACAGTAGAAATGTGGCTGAATGGGAAAGAAAATATTTGGTAACCTCAGATGTAACTAACCCAAGCATGAATAAAACAACACGAAAACAAATGCCAACTGCTCTGCCAAGGTACAAGGATTTTTCTACAGTACTCAAACAACTATATTTGAATAAGTAAGTAGTTGAAGATCATGTAGTTCACATCCCTTTACATGGCTATTGCTTCTAGCAATAAAATTCAGTAAAGCATTGTTGTCAGCATTTAAGTATTATCTAAACATGTCTAAGTGAGATAAGATGTTTCTTAACATATAAATTATTAAAAAGAATTATGTAGAAATTCAGCATGTGAACATATGTGTCATATGAATATTTAGATTCTTTGGGAACTCATCCAGACCCCTGGAAGAATTTTCTACACTGGAAGGAAAATGTTAAATAATACACAAAATGAATGCAGTGCTTTAAAAATCTCTTATTATTTAAAATTTAAATGTGCTCTAAATTCTTCCCCTCCACCACTACGGTCTTCCCATTTTTAATTTAATTTATCGTATAAATTGACATGTGGCATATGTAAGGTTGTTTTTTTATTTACCTCTGTGAACTCTTTAAAGTAGCTCACTGCCCCACAAGAATCTGGGCAAAAACCTTACTCTCATAGCTACAACACACACATTATTTGTTTCAGTTCTATGAAAACTCCTAATTATTAAGAATCAAACAAACAAACAACAGGGCTTTCCAATATGTAAAGTTACTGACAAATTGACAGAAATTCCCTTGTGAACATAGGCTTGTGTTCACAATAAAAATAATAATTTTTAAAAGTGTTTTACCAACACATAAATTAAAGAGCTACTCACTTAAATTCATTAATTACTTTAAATATGTTTTTTTTGGTCCTGAATACACTATTTTCTTCTCTGAATAGAAGACTTAAGAGCCCTGCGAAATGAAATAAGCTCACAGATTCAGGCTGTCTCTGCAGGTTTCTGCTCTGAACTGGAAACCAATAACGTCAGGCTTTGCAGCAGCGTAAAGTGGAAAATCACAAGAGAGAGTTATTATATTCTCCACCTTATAGACAGCAAGGTTGTTAGATGGAGCTATATCTCAGGTTATCAGAAATAATACAAAATTTTATGCTAAAGAGTAGGAGATAAACTGTCCATTATTTTAGATTGTATGAAAGAATATACTTCAGATATACTTCATACTTTCAACCTGATGAGAAATATATCATTGGAATTCCTAATAAATACTGGTTTGTTATTATTATATGAATTATTAATCACAATTTTTATTGTGATTAATAATTCATATAATAATAATACTCACAAACAACAATTATGCTGAAAATGTTTTCAGATAGGTATGATCTGGCACTAATTTTTAAGTAACTCAATAAGTCCTAGGCCCTAAACAGTAGACACAAGAGGAAATGAAGTAAATGACATGGCAATGTAAAACATCACAAGAATGACCAGGGAACTCCTTCTTGTAGACTACCTTTTCTTCCATTTTCTTACTGTTATTCGATTTCAGTCAACTGTCTGAAACACTGCTTTAATAAAATCAATTGGGAGTATGCCAAAATAAATTTATTGTTAGATATTCTCTCTCCTCTCTAATGAATTTGAAATTTAATTCAAATTTAATCATCTACTATTTCCAATTGCCCTCAGGAAGCACACTCAGAGAGCATAACAAAGACTATAGGGTTTTTGGTGGTAGTTTCATTTCTTGCAGATTAAAATGTAGGCTATCTGATCAAAAATTTTGCATTAGGTATAAATCACACTGCATACACTTTCATTTTAGGTTATTGATTATTCATCTACTATTTAGCCTTCATATTTGTGTTTTGTGAGAATGTAATGTCATTTAGATATCTTGATGTCTGCTGACACTGGTAGAGAAAATGATAGGTTTATTTACATAAGTTGAATCGTTACACATAAAACTCTCTGAAAGTCACTGCATGAAAGGCTGTTCTTCCCATTTGCCTAATTTTCAGATATGCTTCAGGAGAAAACAAACAAACTAAGTAAAAAAAAAAAAGATCCTTTTTGATTTTTTTTTCATTTAAATTTACTCACATTTAATTACATAATTTCTCATGCATATTCTAAATGAATGTTAATCAGCATAGTAGCAAAAATAAATTATATTAACTAAGCTGCACAGTGGTAAAAAGGCAATTTAAAGATCTGCACAAACGTACCTAAATCTGTTTGCTTCAGCTGGAGAGAACTTGCGAAGATTCCTGCTGAGCAGCAGAATAAATTTTACAAGAAAGAAAGTTTGTTGTCTCTGAAAATCATAGGATTGTTCTAATTATATAAAAGCACCATGAGGTGATAGAAGAGCTGAAGCAGACTGTGAAACATTTTTTAGCTGTAGCATTCATCCACACCTTCTTCCAGTTCCCACACATTAATCACTCACAACTACAGGCTGGGAAGTGAGTTGTATCTTTATTTACAATTAAAAGTGAACACAGGCTGAGAAGCAGACCACCAAAGATGCTAGGAGAATACCTGAGAAGACACTGAAGTTTTTTTTTAGGCAGTCTTAATTCTACTCTCATTCTCACCAGTGGAAATCAGTCATCCTCCTCTGGAAACGAGTCAGTTAAATAAATAAAAAATAACAAAACAACAAACAAAGAGACAAAACAAAACCCTCACTGCAAGTGAAATATATTCAAAAGTAATACTGTAGACAACTGACAGTTCCACTTTCCAAAATCTGTTCTGTTCATGCCCAGTCTATAGAACCTTTGTTACCTCTGCAAGGTAAGTGCTTCACATCAACAAACCTGTAAGAGCTATCAGGTAGTTACAGTAACAGCTGTTCAAAACAATTTGTTCTTTTGCACCTTATGGTCTTGGAAGGAAGGATATATATATATATTTATTTTTTTTATAAGAATTTATTTTAATGTTTTTCTTAGTTACTTCAATTTACTGCTAAGACTGACAATGCCTGCAACATATGGAACTAAGCAAACAAGCGTAAGCGAGATCCTGTCAGACTAACACTGGTATACAATAACAGGCAAAGTGACTGCCAAATTCAGTTTACCGTGGCACCCTGGCTCCTCCATTTCCCCAGCATATTCCATCCTTCCTTCCCAACCATTTACCTAAGTTGGCACTGTCCTTTTTTTTTAAAACAAACAAACAAAAAATAAATTATTAAATACACCTCTCTTCTCCCAGGAAAACCAAGTGTTCTAAAATAGATTCTTTTATCTAGATCAAGAATAAATCCTCCATTTCCAATGCACTTTCCACAACACCTATAAAATGATCTGCCACTTAAACCTTCATATCTGTCATCCCCTGGAAGAGACAGCTGGTGTGAGTATGAGAGCACAGTAGAGGGTGAACAGTCATACTAACAACAGGGACTGCCACAAGATTGAAACACATGTAGCTGAATTTTAACATTTATTCCACTGTGTTAATCCTGAAAACAAATTTATTTTATTTTTCAGGAGATATAAATGATCTGTGTAAAGGGCTCCATGAGAGACCATTGCCTTCTCTACAAGTGATCAGAACTGTCCTGTCTGATTTTTGTTCCAACACAGCAGAAAACCTAGACCATTAATGATATTACAATTGTCTTTGGAAGACAGTACAAGGCAAATTCATCCATAAATATACTTCCTATAAGATCTTTTTTGTGCCTTCTTCACAGAATCACAGAATTTCTAGGTTGGAAGAGACCTCAAGATCATCGAGTCCAACCTCTAACCTAACACGAACAGTCCCCACTAAACCATATCCTTCCTACCCAAACAAGTTTATACTTTTTTTGTGTATGTGTTACGCTGCTCTTTGTTTTCTCCAAAAGCAGAAACTTGCTGCTATGGCAACATGCTTTGGGGTATAATCTGACAAAAGCAAAATGAAAGCAGGAATTAAAGGAGAAAAAGCCTTTAAATGTAAAAACTTTCATCCAAATTGCACTAAGAATTTGTCCATTAACACTGGACTGTCAGATGTATTTCCTCAGCTTAAAGGTCCTACGCAGGCATACCAATTATGACAGTCTAATCAGGCAGTTTTGCTCAGCTGTATGTAATTACTACATTTACAGTCCTTTTAATTTCAACAAATGAAACTGAAAGAAATATCATGAGAAAGAATTAAAATAATGGTTGAACAGAGAACTTTTTAGTGAATACGCTGTAGCATATACACAATAATCTGAGGGTAAGTGAGAGAGACAGGGCAAGGTCATCTGAGTTAACACAAAAAGAACTTGGTTTTACAGTTCTTACCATTCTTGGAAAATAGCAATAAATGCAGGTACTTGCTGGATACATTAAATATATATATATATGTATAATATACATACACAAAGACTGTAAAAGGTATTATAAACAGGTAAATGAATACTTTAAACGAAAAGAGAGGACATCAAGTGTGTATCATAATGAACAATTAACACAAAAGTGCTGCACACTTGAAATTTAAAAGGAACTTTTAGCACTTAGCTAGTAGTGAATTTTCTGAGCAATACTGCTGTTGATGAGATGATTGTTACTTTACATTTTCATAGCAAGGAAAGTTACATTATGTCAGTCATGGGGAATGTAATTATGCAATTTTACAAAATGCCCAAGCCAAGAAAGAACTCCAGAAACTTGAAATGTGAAAACTTCTAATTCAGATCCATTTTTCCAATTTCCTATATTGCTGTCATCTTTCAGAATAAACTTACTGAAAAATAAAAGGTAGACTCCTAAGGAACAAAAGTCCTAGAAGTCTAGAAGAGTATCCAGACAACATATTACTGAACAGTAATATAATATATTATACAACATTATATATAACAGCAATAAATTATATTTAATGCAGCTCAGCAAACCACTTTACTGAATATTTTTTTGGTTAAAATAATCAGTAGAGTAAGATCTTTCATAGAAAAGACATATTTTATGGCTGTGACTATGCAGTTGTCAAGAATATATAGTATATGGTATTTTATATAGTTAAATGCAGTATTTTAAGCTGCTTACAGATACAAATTAGTTAACACAGAAATGTTTTTCATGTTTGCTGGTGATTATTTAAATTTATCAGGTGGATAATTCAGAAAGTTCCTCAGGACAGAACTGGAGAACCCTGAAAAATATAAAACCAAGCCAGCAACAGAAAAAGAACTTGCTTACAGTTTGAAGAGAAATTATAACAGTTATTCTCTTATATTTGAATAGATAACACCCTTTTCTTTCCTAAAAGCAGAAAGGCAGAGTACGTTGACTACCCCACAACTGTGGTAAAATATTCAGAGCCTTGCAGTTACAATGCTCACCAGCCCACATACCTGAACATAAGAAAAAACCCTTGATCTGCCCAGATTTAATGATAAATCCCTAATGCAAAATTTAAAATAATAATAAAATAAAATAAAAAATCCACATAATGGTTAACTTGGCATTAAAACCTAGTTAGATTCATGGATTCATAGAAATAACATCTGTCAGAACACTTCAGCCAGTAGCCGCCAGAAGCTGAGGTTTTATTCCCTGGTAGGTCATGACTCATTTTATAGTGTTCTTCCTCACATATACTAAAAATAAGAAAAATATACAGCTGAGTTGTACAACTATCAAACTAGATCAAACAAATACAGACTGGTTTGATTTATTTTCTGACTACACTTGGCATGACTGAATGGACAGAAGGAATCCAAAAGGTTTAATGGGAAGAGGTTTGGAGAACTGGGGTTTCATAACCTAGAGAAAAAAAAAAAAAGGCTAAAGGAGATTCCTTCCACCATGTAAAGGAAAGTTTCAAATAATAGCAAAACAAGCTTCTCTAAGTGAAAGGATGAGACAAAAGATACAAGTTACATCAAGAAAAAAATTAAATGGATGTAAGGGTTGGGAAAAATGTCACAGCATGTTTAAGCAGTGGAATATTTTCTAAAAGAAGTTGTAGAATTATGAGCTCCCAGAGACACTCTAAATACATGGACACCCTGCAAGTTAGCCCCACTTCCTTCTACACTGTGACTAGGAAAATCCCAGACATCTGTACTAACCTGAATTTTTGTATAACTTTTGTTTTATGGTAATAAGTGTTGTTTTGCATATATTACAAAAGTTTATGGAATTATAATTGCGAAACCATTTCAGACCAAATCCAGAAGGTCAGCAGTTGGTAGAAATTCACTGCACAACTGTTGGGACTACAATTAGAGCATTCCAATTATTAGCTATCATGTTAACAAGTAGAGATTTCAACTAACTTTTGGCAGCAAAAGTTTAAAAATATACATACAAATCAAAATAAAATTAAAAAAAAAAAAAGAAAGAAAGAACGAACAAGGATGAGGTGAGGATGCATGGAGGAAATTGCTATATAAAAATGTAAACTGTCAGTAGCCCTTTACAGTTCTGGAGAGTCTGAGGAATGTGCAGATTTGTGCAAAGGCTGAGGCACAACTAGATTGAAAGCACTTAGAAGCAAATATTAAATTTTATAAAATCCAACCTTCCATAAAAAAAAAAAAAAAAAAAAAAAAAAAAAGGAAAGAAAGAAAGAAAAAAAAAAAAGAAAGAAAAGAAATAATAATAAAAGATTAGGTCTGTCAACTTTAAAAGGGCATAAGAAGCTTCAAAGCACTCATTCACAACAACAGGAAGCAGGCACATTTGTCATGGTCCAACCAGTCACTGCATTTTCCAAGCAATAAAGGCAATTTTCAAAGACAAGTGAGTTAGTGCTGCTGGATTAGCAGAACACTGTTGTTTGAAAAAGGTGTTATCAACATAGGGCACAGCATCCTGGCAAGTCTTTGCTGAAAAGTTTAGTAGGGTGTGGACAAGTCACATAAATACTTCTCAACAGTTTTGACAAAATAAAAAATAAAAATAAAAAAAAAAGACTGAATCATTGCTCTTATCTACTCAGACTTTTTTCTTGTGTTCTTAACTACTCTAGGTATTAATTTACATTGATAAATTTTTATGCAAAGCTGTAGAAATCCAATAACTGGGATTAATGGATGGCACATTTCATTACAGCTCAAGTGGGAGTACCCTCACGGTCCCCAGGGTGATGCTCTACAGGCCACCATCATTGCTTTGGAGGAAATGGTAGTGAGCTCTGTTTGAGAAGCACACACAGCCCAAGAACTGAATGGATAGAGATGTCTCAGAACTTCGCAAATAGTCATCTTTCACCTCCTGATCCTGAATACAACCAGTCCTATAGAGCAAAAAACTACTACAGCATCACAAGAAGACAGCCCTAAAAACAGTATCCAGTCTCCTTCAGTGAGGAGCCTAGACCAGCCTGTGACACATTGATCAAAAGGCTACCAGCACTGATTTGGGGGCAAAATTTGTAGTTTGTTGTTGTTGTTGTTTGTTTTAAGCTGAATGCCAGATTGTGGTGGATA